TTTTTTTTTTGCATATCAGCGGGCGAATCTGTTAACCAAGAAGTTAAATTGGAATTGTTAACGGAAAGAAATTAAATTGGTGTGGCCTTACCAAGTCATGACACTCCAAAATTTAATGTGTGTGTATTTTTTGTGCTACAATGTTATTTTTTTACAATGAAGGTAAAAGACAGGGAATACCTCAACTCCACTCCTACTGCAATTTTTTTCAGCGTGATATCTCTTCAAAGTTTTGGAAGTCCATCGCGCACGTGGTTCCGAAGAATGCGGACAAGTTTCGTATCGTGAACCCGGCCCTACTGCAGGAGACGTCCTTTGATCTGATTGGCTTTCCTACTAAGGGTGGGAAGATGGGAAAGGTGGGCTGCACAATTCTACATGTTAAATATTATCTGCTTGTTAACTAGTAAACAACGTGAGACACAGTGTTTTTAATAGCTGTTCCTTCTAGAAATAACATTTAATTTTGTTTTCGTGCTAGGAGGATCAGAATTGAAATTTGAATTAATGTCAAACCAGACAATTCCACTAATGCAACAATCATTATTCCTGGTTTGTCACTACCAAGTAGTAGATGTATCATAGCCACATGACAATGCAGTGTCAGTAATCCCAGAGAAAAAAAAAATGGTTTAACAGTTAGGCCACACCAATTTAATTTGTTGGTTTTCGGATTTTTTCAGAAAAAATATGAAGCGACAGGGCCAAAAAAAATAAAAATAAAAACAGGTCTAGGCATCCTATTATAGGCTTAAATGCTATAATGGAATGAGCCATGAAGTCAACTGGCTGGGTTAAACTTTAAACATTGAATTTTGAACTTTTAATCAAACCACTGCAATGATAGATGGGAAAACTGTAACAACTAGGAAGAAAAGGACTTTCCTCAACTGCTGGGGGCAAAACATGAGCATTTTTCAGTTGATTCAGGACCAGAATCAATTTTTTTTTTTTGCAAATCAGAAAAAAACGAAGAGGCGAATCTGAGAACCAACAAATTAAATTGGTGTGGCCTTAGGGTACCTGGCAGGTTCATGAGCATTTGATTTAAGCCCTATTGATTCGTCTAATTCTGTGTATCAAAGCTAATGCATATTTTCCGATGTTTTCCAGAACGTACCAACAATGGGCTCGCTGGCTATCATTTGGGCCATCAACTACTGCGACGAAGTTTCGGTCGCCGGATTCGGCTATGACCTCTCGAAGCCCTCGGTGTGGCTACATTACTACAAGGACGTCAAGATGTCTACCATCGCGAACTCCTGGACTCACGACATCAACAAGGAGAAAGATTTCCTGAAAACTCTAGTAAGGAATGGCGTCATTACAGACCTGACAGGTGGGATTCTGGGGGGGATTTGAGAAATGTCTGAAGGATTTTATTGCAGCTACATGTATGACTGTGACTTGATTTGATTTTGATTAATTGCAATTGCAACAGTACTAGTGCAATACACGTGGGACACAGGCAGCTGTAGCTGGTGTTGTGTCCCACGCACAAAAAGGAATACTGGACAGACAGTACTCATTTTTACTTGAGTTTAGTGGGGAAAGTCGTGTAAAGTGCCTTTCCCCAAGGGTACAAGATCGTTAATTGGATATGTCAGGACTTGAACCCGGGACCTCTTGGTTCCGAGTTGAGCACCCTGTCATTGTGCCACATGACCCCACAACAAAGCAATCTTCTCAGTGCACATGTGTTGTGAAATATAACTGAATTTGATTCATTGAACATTGGCTAGCAAACTATTGAACCCAACTAGAGCTTAGTGTGTCGAAACATTAATTTTATTATTATTGCTGGTAGAGCCGAAAATGTCTATAAAATGTTAAACGGACAATAGACCCTTTTTGGACATTCTCGAAAATTCCGGAAATTTTTCAAACATTTCTAAGAATGTCTGAACAGGGGCTTTACGGGGTCTTTTTGGGGAGGACTTGCTTGTTGTGTTTTCCATTGTTCATGAGGTGTCTGTCAGAATGTCTTTAGAAAAAAAGTGTGAAAAATGGCATGCATATGAAAAGCACTGCACAAAACCAAGACAATTTATAGGTGAGGACACCATTAATTAATAGACAGATGCTAATATCTTTATAAGTGCTCATTGTGCTAAACAAAGGACTGTCTCCCAGGGGTGTCCCTACCTGACGTATGAAGAGACTATGGATATAAAATGTCCACCTTGGGTTATTTCGATGTCGTTTTTCAGTAACTATGTCTACTTAATGTTCTCCCAACTGGCCTTTGTTCAGCAATGTCTAAATCATGTCTATTGTCCGTTTAACATTTTATAGACATTTTTGGCTCTACCATATTGTTAGATGTTTACTTTGACTTTCTCATGCAAAAAACCTACTCTTGGATCTCATGTTTTTGTCGTTTTCCAATGTGAATTCATCTTTGTGGTACATGTAGGAACCACAAAATAAGTGCTAATATATATTACTACAATCATATTATCTAATAAGTGGAATTTTATTCATGTACACTATTTTGACATTCCATATTTTGGTCCTGCACCTAAGAAAAATGTAGGGGTATCGCAACAACACCCCATACTACTAAGCAATGTCTCAGCAATAAAATGTAACAACATGGAAACAAAGGACATTGCTTTGTAATGAATGTAGCTGACTAACTAATGGAAATGTATCAAATTGTACTATTAGCATTTTATTGTAAGGCCACACCAATTTAATTTCTTGGTTAACGGATTCGCCTCTTCATTTTTTTCTGATTTGCAAATAAAAATAAAAATTCAGAATCAACTGCA